GAGTAACTAAGCCCATCCGCCACAACTACTGAGCCTGTGCTCTAGAGCCCGCGAGCCACAACTACTGAAGCCCGCATGCCACAACTACTGAGCCCGCGAGCCACAACTACTGAAGCCCGCACGCCTGGAACCCGTGTTCCACAAGAGAAGCCACCACAATGAGAAGCCCTCACACAGCAACGAAGAGAAGCCCCCACTCGCCGCAACTAGAGAAAGCCCGCGTGCAACAACGAAGACCCAATGCAGCCAAAACTAACTAACTAAATTAATTAACTAAAAAAAATTCACAGAACAAAGTTTCTCCTGACACTTTGCAAATATCTTGGTTCTAATTGTCCATGTTCATCAAGCAAGTATTTTTCCTTTGATCAGTTTTGCAGGTATCAGGAAAAGAAATAAACTGTATACTAATTACTATAAAGAATAAATGTATTCATTGTTTCCGTCGTTACATATTTACTGAGCCCCTAGTATATGGCAGGCACCATGCAGTGGTAAGTTAATGGCAAGTAGTTCCTGCCTTCCTGTTACAGTCCAGAGGGGAGACAGACAAGTAAGTAACCACACAAACAAAAACATAACTGCATCTTGTGCTAAGTGCAATGTTAAACTAGATAATTAACACAGGCTTGACTGACACTTTAAATGGACCTAGGAGTTAACCAGACAATGGAATGAGAGTCGGCTGTTAGGCAGAAGGTAATAAAGAGCTTGGTGTGTTTGAGGATCTGAAAGGCCAATACGGATTGGAAGGATCAAGGGAGAGAAGGGCCATGTGAAATAAGCCTGGAAAGGTGCCATCATTAGACATGATGACATTTGTCCTTTCAAAAGATCCTCTTGGTTGCTATGTAAAGAATGGATTGGAGGGGGCATTAAAGTGGAAATGGAGAGACTAGGTAGGAGAATTCTGCAATAGTTTAGTCATGGGATAATAGTCACCTGGACGACAGTGTTGGCAGTAGACAGAAGGGAACAGATTTATGATATGTTTAGGAGATAGGATTACGAGGGCTTGGTGATAGATTGGACATAGGTAAGCAGATAGAAGGAGCAGTTCCAGGATTCTGGCTTGAGTAACTGGGTTGAAGAGTTGCCATCCATTCACTAAAATGAGCAGAGACAAAGGAGGACTAGATTAGATGTGGCTCTGGGTGGGGATGTAGATGTCAAGGAGTGAAGAAGAATGTAGATGTCAAGGAGTGAAGGAGAGTTTTGTTTGAATATGCTAAGTTTGAGAAGGACATGAAATCTCCCAGGGGAAGTGCCAAGTGACCATTTCGATATATAGTAATGAGGCTTAGTAGAGAGATCCGGACTTTCCTGGGCACTCTGGTGTATAAAAAGCATCTGAAGCCTTGGGATTAGAGAGGTCACCTAGGGAGAAAATGTAGACAAGAAGCAAAGAGAATCTCATGAGTCAGATTCTTAGAACCTATCAACTCCGGGTAGGTTAATAAGATCAGGTTTCTGAAGCCAACGAGTTGATGATCATTTATACATCCATGGTGACTGTGGTAAAGTAGCTAGCCAAAACAAGCAGCAGACCACTCCGTCCTCTTCTAAAACACAACAGATATTATTATCCCCATTTTACAAAGGGAAAAGTGAGACTATGAGAGTTTAAGTGATTTGGTTAAAACTGCAGTCAGTCAGTGACAGACAGGATTGAGTCTAAATTCAGCTCATGCCATTGCAGTTGAAAACTCTTCCCACCCTTCAAGAATAGATCCCTGCCGACATCACGAGCTTGTGAAGAAACACAGAGGTTCGTGACCCTGGTGGGAAGACCATAGAACAAAGAAAGCTATTAGGCAAAATTAAATTCTAAACCTGTGGGAAGAAGAGATCATCATGAACTCAGAGAGCTAATAAAGAGTCTATGGGTGTGTGGACTGTGAAGGTTAAGGAGGAATTAGGATACGGGAAAGGGAAGGGGAAAAACTCTCAGATTTAAGGATATGATGAACCAAGATGCGGAGCACACCAGGGCGTAGAAAAGAACTGATGGCAAATGGGCTTCGTTTCACACGTCAACTCTAATAGATTGGTGGTGGCTCAGTGCAGGGGGATTAGCAAGATCTGTCAAGAGCAGGAGGTTAGGAAGTGGGGGCAGGTCTCCACCGTTACCTTTCCCAGACTCGAGGATCTGTGTGTGACTTGGAAAAAACATATTTGGGTAGCTAAAGTAAGGTCAGATTATTTCTGCCTGCAAAGCCACGTGGAAAATCTTGAACTTAGTTTAGTAGTTCACAAGAAGCATTTATAAATGATTGAAGAGGGAAGAAATACCAGGAACTCTTCAGGAAGTGCATATTGTTGATGGTGTGTGACATAAGACTGAAAGGACTGGACTCCTAGAGGAAAACTTGGAAGCTATCAGCTTGATGCAAATCAGTGGCTTTTCAAACTTTCCTTAGCAGGGAATCCTTTCTAAAAATGAGATCTTATGTGAAATCCTAACATACTAAGCAAAAAAAAAAAAGTGCTCTTTTTATTAGGAGAATTTATTTTATGGTTTTAAATATATAACATGCTTATAATAATGTCAAAACGAAGATAAAGGAAGTGGATTAAATAAACACAAAAGTTTTCATTCTGGGATGATGGAAGAGAGTTGCTTCTTGTATTAGCTTTAGCATTCAACCAGACAATTTATATCTGAATTTTATTCTGGTTTTACAATAGCAAGAAAATCCTGATACATAATGATTTACGGAGACAAGTACTTGATAAGTACTTGATAATATGGTAATTTTTGTTTTTGGTTTTTTGTATTTTCCAATTGGCCTGCAATCACAGGGCGCTCTTCAATTAACACTAATCCAGAACGTAGTGTAGCAGGATTTTTTTTTCTTAACAAAAATATGAATAGCCAGAAGCCTCCAAAGCGAATAAGTACATAGCCACCTGCAGTGTGAGATTATCATGATGGGCCATGGTGTAGGCTGATTGCTAAAGCGTAGTAAACCGCTGTGTGAGAAGAGCAAGCGCAGAAAAGACGCTCTGGAGCCTGGCCAGGCATTTAATCAAGCGCTGCGCGCCTGCGCCATGGTAGTGGCTAAGGTTGCCGTTTCACCGGAGCAGACGTGCGCAGTCCACAGTGAAAAAAGAGCAGTGAACAGTTTCAGCTCTCCCAATATCAAAGACAGTCATTGCGTTTATGTTTGAATCTGCTGGCGTCATAATTCTTTATTTTACTTGAATTACCCCCAAGAAGAGAAATTAAGGCAGGCAGGGGGAGGAGAGGAGAAGGTGCCAGGTCTGAGATTTTTTTCCAGCTATAGAAGAGTTTTTGTAATTTATTTAGTAATAGGCTTGGATTAACACAGATCATTTACAAACCAAGTGAGCAAAATTTCATTTTGTAATACAAACATACTCCATATTACATGCCTGATGGTTGAAGGAACACTGTAGTTAGCAGAGACATTTTTTAAAGTGCTAATAATTCCCTTCCTTAAAGAAGGCTGTTGGATCATTTATATTCCAGAAATTTCAGGATCATAAAGAGCAAAGAGACTGTGCAGAATAAGCTGTCATTTACATTTAAACATATTTAGGGTCTGTCTTTTAATATTGACAGAGGTTTACTTGTTTGTTTCTATGTCTTGGACAGGAAGGGAATCTTTAGGAGTAGAAAAAAACTATTTACTTACTGGGATATCAAATTGATATTCCATTATTTAAAGTTACAAAATTAAAAATCTACTTTTCCTTGAGTTTAAATTAGTCATCTTGTTATGCAAATTATTCTCTCACTTTTCTTTGATTAATATTTGGTTTGCTCATGTCAAGAAACTAAATTAAATTAAACAATCAGTACGAAGTTGGATAATTAAACCTCCTTAAACATTTTAAACTGCATTTATAAATTTAATAGAGTCAATTTTTATTTTAAACGTTTCAAAAGCCTGCAGACCAAATTCATAACCTTATGAGTGCTTCCCAGAGTACTTAACCCTTATTAATCAAAGGCACTAAATGCATAAATATGGCAAATTAAATTCTCTTAGGCATTTTACTTACCTGGAGAAAAGGAGAGTGCTAATACTGAAAGAAATGGGGAAATTGGAAAGAGAAAGTGGTATGATAAAGGCATGCTGATACAAGGCCTTAAAGATGTGCCATAAGAAATTGGTACTACGTGGGATTTCCCTGGCCATCCAGTGGTTCGGAGTCTGCTCTTTCACTGCCAAGGTCCAGGGTTCAACCCCTGGTCAGGGAACTAAGATCCTGCCAGCAGCGCAGCACGGCCAAAAAGAAAGGAAGAAAGAAACTGTTACTAAGAGGTTTGGGACTGAGGTTCTCTGAAATTAGAATCACAGGAGTCCTTCAACATACACATGCCCAAACCCCAGCACAGACCTGCTCAATCTCATATACCACGAATATTTCAAAAAGGCTCCCTGAATCCTGATGCTGCCCAAGTATCCCCAAACTTCCCACTCCCACTCCAGTCCCATAATCACACATTTTACACCCTCAGCCTGCTTGTGAGTCACTGGTGGGAGTTCAGGGAAAAGCTCCTTCAAGAAATGTTGACTTGATACAATCACCTGGATAGTATCTCCTTTGTAAGCAGCTCCCGTGGAGCGAATGTTTAGAGACTAGAGCACCAGGGCTTGGGAGGACACTCATATCAAGGGGACAGAAAGAAAAGAAGCCTAATAGAGTCATGAAATTTACTTTTTGTACTTAGCACATATGAGAAACCAAGATCTGGGTCTGTATCCCCTCCACCCCTACATATGTATCTATATTTATTATGAAATGCCTTAGAATAGAAATCTGATGCTAAAAATCTACATGTGAATTCTAACAAGAATGTAGTAAGGGTTTAACCAACAGCCTAATATATAGAGAGCTTCACAGCAGAGTTCAGGTAGAGATTTTTTCAAAGGGGTCTCTGCCTCGAATGACAAAAAAATTCAATGAATCTTTTCTTTCCTTCCTCCCTTCCTTTGCTTCCTCCCTCCCTCCCTTTCTTTCTTTCACAGGAGCTGTTGCATGCCAAGCACTGACTGAGGCACTGTGGAGGTTATGGAAGAAATTCAGGTGATGTGCCTTTCCTCCAGACTGTACAATTTAGCTGAAGAGATGAGACTAACACAAATATAACAATAAGAAAACAATAAGACCACATACAATCAAATGCTAGGTAGAGTGTAACAACAGTTTAAGAGATGAGAGAAAGAAGGTTTCTGGAGATGGTTGGAAAAGGCAGGTTGGGCTCTACAGAGATGCAGAGACATCAGCTGACTCTCACAGACTGAGTAGGATGGATGCACAGCCCATCCCAGGAGCAGAGGCCTCTGGGTACCATGAAAGGAAAGGCCCGTTAGAGAAATACTGAAAATTATGAGTAAGCTGACCACATTTTCCATAAAAATATCCGGACGTATGGCTGGACACATGGTCTAACAACAGGAAAGAATATTTTTAATTGGGGCCGTACCAGAAAATCTAGAACATATGGTGACTCTATTTACGGGCCAAGAAAATCCTAATACAAGAGAGGGCTGAAGTAACCGACCCCAGGTAGACAAGACACAGCCACACCATCTGAGAGGCTGCTAGACTATTTCCCCAGTCATCAGAGTTAATGTTCTTCATTAAGATTTCCGTTAATCTTTTCAGAGAAAAGGTCAGTGCCTGAACAAGAGAAGATATTTGGAGAATTTATATTCAGATTTCTTAAATACATCCTTTAATATTTTCTCAAATAATTTTTGTAGTAGGCAGGGTATAAATAATGACTGCAAAAATGTTTCTTCCACCTGGGGTAATACAATAAAATCCAATTTAAAGTTTCCTTTCCTGTAAGAAAAAAGAGAACATCCATACCCTGTGAAGTTCCAGGCTTGTTATCAGAGACTTCATTCATATTGAAAAATATATTTTAAACTACCAAGATTGTTATATGTAATTTTGCCTTTTATGTCCCTGATGTCTCACTGTTTTTCTCACTGTTTTAATAGCTTGCTGTCTGAAATAAATACATGCCAGAAGCTTCCTTACCCAGTTTTGCAATTTAATAATCTTAGCAATTATTGGGGAAAAAAACAGTTTTAAAGGCTTTAACTCAAATCTTGGAAGGTTAAAACATCTTCCCTTCAGCCCATCCCAGAGCTCAGAGATCACTTGCCAACTCATTCTCAGTATTATCAAGGAAATGCACATTTTTCTCCTTTTATGGTCGGTAAATACATTGACCAAGATGACGCGGTCATCATTACTGAAGCACAACAAGAAAGTCACACATTTGAACGCCTGGCTTCCTCTGCTTCTAAAGAAAAATCTTAAATGCATCTTAAAATACATGTATTTCTGATAAAAGCAAGAAGACATGTTTTTAATGAGATTTCCTGGATACTAGACTTGTCTGTTTTTCTTTTTAATTTTCCACTGTTATTTCAGGCCTCAAAAAACATAGGTACATTTAAAGACAGAGCTCGACTTTCATTAGCAAGAGTTGCTAAGAAAGAGGAAATACCTAAACACACACAATAGAAAGGGAACATTTTGCAACCATTAAAATAAAAATTGTGTTCAGCCTTAAGAACAAATGAAATTCTGACACATGCTACAGCACGGATTAACCTTGAAGACACTATGCCAAGTGAAATAAGCCAGACACAAAAAGCCAAATACTATATGAATCCTCTTAATATAATGAGGGACCTAGTGTAGTCAGCTTCATAGAGATAGGAAGCAGGATGGTGCTTCCCAGGGGCTGAGGTGAGAAGAGGATGAGGAGTTAGTAATTGTCCAATAGGCGCAGAGTTTCAGTTTTGGAAGATGAGAAGAATTCTGGAGATGGACAGTGATGATTGTTGCACAACAATGTGAAAGTATTTAATGCCACTGATCTGTACACTTAAAAATGGTTAAAATGGGGCTTCCCTGGTGGCGCAGTGGTTGAGAGTCCGCCTGCCGATGCAGGGGACACGGGTTCGTGCCCCAGTCTGGGAAGATCCCACATGCCGCGGAGTGGCTGGGCCCGTGAGCCATGGCTGCTGAGCCTGCACGTCCGGAGCCTGTGCTCCGCAACGGGAGAGGCCACAGCAGGGAGAGGCCCACGTACCGCAAAAAAAAAAAAAAAAAAAGGTTAAAATGGTAAATTTTATGTTATGTACATTTTTCCCAAAATTTTTTAAAATAAAAAAATTAATTATGAATAAATTAAATCTATCTGGATAAAAACTCATGGTCCCAATCCCCAAAACTAGGTCCAAAGCTGACAGGTGAATTATGCGTGGCTTTTCGAGAGTTTAGTCGAGGTAAATGGAAACGATAAAAATTCTTTATTACACAAAAATGTGTGATAAACAATACTGTAGGGACCACAAAGAGGAAGGGCTCACTTCTACCCAGAGCAAAAAAGGGCAAAAAATAAGCAAAAAAGGGCACTTTGCTTATTTTTTTCCTTTGTATATTCTGAGAAACGTATCAACTGTTTAATTTCACTGGTATGATGTGTAAATAGATTGGGCAATAGAGAAAAGTAAAACAAGTTATCAGAAGATACTTGACAATATAAAATCCAAGAGGACAGGAAACCCTCTAGATGGTATACATTAACTATAAGAAGACCAGCTAGAAAGGCTGGGTTACAAAGTAGAGAAGAGCAATTGGGATTAGGAGGAAAACATAATAAAATGACCACAGTAAGCAGTAAGTGTTATTTAGTGTATACAGTAGGATAAACTACAAAAGAATTCAAGGACATGTGCTTTATTGTTAAGGATTCTACTGTACGGTCTAACAGAGGGACAAAAGGCACAAATAAGAAACAAACACATTTTTCAAGCAATAATTCATAAAATAATATAGTGTAAAAAAATATAAGTATTAATTAGGGATCAAGCAGAGGAATAAAAAATAAGATCCCAGAGGTCTGGGGTCCAATTTGGAAATAAAGGAGGGATAATGTTGGTGAAGAAGAACAAGGGCATTGCAAACTGAAAACAAAAGAGCCCCAGAGATTGGAACAAAGTCCCAGAAGCCTGCACAAGAACTTTAAGGGGAAGCAGGCATGAAAGTGTCTGTCCTATAAGGTGACTATTCACAGATGACTTAGAGGAATTCAGGGGACTAAGAAGTACTTACAAGTTCATGGAAAGGCACCTAACAATACACTTCCAAATTTGTACGAATTTTAATGTTGCTAGTCATAGAAAGGGGAATCACTGTAATTGTGTGGATCCAGCTAGCCAAAGGCTGACCTTCAAATAGGTCAAAAATTTACCTTATTAAAATGTAACCATCAGGGCTTCCCTCGTGGCGCAGTGGTTAAGAATCTGCCTGCCAATGCAGGGGACACAGGTTCGAGCCCTGGTCCGGGAAGATCCCACATGCCGGAGCAACTAAGCTCGTGCGCCACAGCTACTGAGCCTGCACTCTAGAGCCCGCGAGCCACAACTACTAAGGCCCGTGCGCCTAGAGCCCGTGATTTGCAACAAGAGAAGCCACCGCAATGAGAAGCCCGCACACCGCATCGAAGAGTAGCCCCTGCTCGCCACAACTAGAGAAAGCCGCGTGTAGCAACAAAGACCCAACGCAGCCAAAAATAAATAAATGAAATTAAAAAAAAAAAGTAACCATCAGAAGGGGCTCAAAGTTGTCATAGAGCACTCACTCTTGAGTCGGAGTTGGATCTTGAGTATCAGACTAGAGCTAAGTCTGGACTCAGTGTAGGAAAGAGATCCCATCAGAGAGAAATTCTGCTCTGCAAAGTCTAAAGCAGCTCCTGCAGATTGCACAGGTCACTGTGCACTGGACACGATTCCAAGGGCTCGTTCATTTCATCTTCACAATCCTCCTGGGGGTGGAAAGTGGTGCTGCTGCCCCTAGAGCCCAGGCCCTTAACAACTAGGCTACACCAACCTTCTACTGCTTTTCAAATGATTATGTGAAATTCTGTCTGTTCTTGGAATGGAACGGCCATGAGTTGTATATATGAATGCAATCTCACAAACATTTTGCAGCCGTGACCTATCCAGCCTCGAGAATCTGCTCTATTTTTAAAGAACTTAAAATGAATTTAATAAATTTACTTTTAGCCTGCCACATGCCATGAAGGATTTGAGACCAAAAGAAATACAGGTTTATAGGAAGTGGACTGTGAATTAGGCAGACTCTATATATGATACGATAAAAAAAATGTTCTTCTGAATTTTGAAAATGAGTCACAGAGAAGTAAAGAGTTTATTCCCCAGACCTCTGTTTGTTTACAGCTCTAGAGACTTAGAACCAGCCAAGCCCATCTTGGGAATCATGACATACGCTCATCTGGGAACTCAGCAGGTATCAATTCACAACCCAATCTGGTCCCTGAAAGATAATGAATGACTTTTTAATATCAGGATCAAAGAATAAATATTCATTTTCTGACACTCTGAAGAGAAGATAAATTTTAAATGTCAGTTGCATTTCATCCTAACTAGATGAAAATTTGTTTCATTCCTGTCAACCTGTTAAATAAAGAAGCTCCAAAACACACAGACACACTGAAAAAGAAGACTGAAAGCAGCAAGTGTTGTAATAGAGTAAGCACAACACTTTCCCTAGAAATGACCAGTAGTGCTTGGAGCGTGATGATACTGTCTAGTCTTTGGTCTCAGCTTTTCCAGTTCTTCTTCCTGATGCAACTGCTTGTTTTACTGCCATTGCCTATGTTATGGGCTGAGCTGTGTCTCTCCCAAATTCATATGCTGAAGTCCTAAACCCAGTACAGGTGATCCCTCAGAAGACGACTCTATTTGGAGATACGGTCTTTTTTTTTCTTAGTCAAAAGGCCGAGAGGCAACGGAGATAGCGTCTTGAAAGGGGTAATTAAATTGAAATGAGGTCATGAGAGTGGACCTTAATCCAATATGACTTGTAAGAAGAGGAAATTTGGACACAGACACACTCAGTTTGAAGATGTGAAGACAGAGGGAGAAGATGGTTATCTACCAGCCTAGGGGAGAGACCTTGGAAGAAGCCAACCCTCCAACATCTTGATCTTGGACTTGTTAGCCTCCAGAATTGTAAGAAAATAAATTTATGTTATTTTAAGCCACCCAGTCTGCGGTCCTTTGTTATGGCAACCCTGGCAAACTACTGCACTATACCTTCCACCAGATTGTAAGCTCGGCAAGGGCCAGCCTATGTCCAGGTGTCTTCTCTACCCTTGTATCCCCAGCACATATCATGAGCTTGCTGCACAGCAGGTGCTTAATAAATATTGTTGAATGAATAGCTGACTGCAGCTGGATATCTTGGCCCATTTTACTGGAGTACAGGTATGTAACTATTACCAAAAATGATCAGAAGTAACTTTCTCCCTTTATTAAAAAATAACTTTATATTCTGATTTTAAAAATGTTGCCCATCCATTGTGAAAAATAGGGAGCAGTATAAAAAAAAGGAGGAAACAATCACTTAAAACCCTGCCACTTAGAGATAACCACTTTAAGTTTTGACACACACACATATATATTTCAATACAGTAAAATAATATTGTATCACTTACCCTATGTCACATTTTCCCCACAGAGGTAAAACTTCTTCATAAACATTTTAAATGACTATAAAATGTGTAATATCAGGTATATCTTTCATAATTGAAGCCCCCATTGTTAGACATTCAGGTGTTTCTAATTTTTTCTATCATAATTAGCACTGCAGTGAATTTCTTTGCGCAAAAACGTTTTTATCCACTTCTCTGAAGTCTTTAAAGGATGACATCCTAGCACTGCAATAATTGATTCAAAAGGTATGGTCATTTGAATCAATTGTTAAGGCTTTTGATCCATATTCTTCTATTGTTTTTTGAAAAGATAAGCCAATTTATACTCTCACAAGAAATCCATGAGATTTGCCATCACTTTACCCTTAAGTATGATTTTACAAATGTTACTAATATGATAAGATAAAATGGCATCTTGAGTGGCATTTAAATTTTCATCCTTTGAAAATTAATGGAGCTTTCCATTTTCCTCTATGCATTAGCTATTTATAATTTTGTCTTTTG